TTATTTCAAAACAGATTTTTGTAATATGCTTTCTATATCCTTTTAAATTCTGTAAAATCTGTGGTAATGTCTCCTAGATTTTGATATTGTAATTTAAAACATGTGTAATTGATATTGTGTAACAGGAAGTAAACATCTAAAGGAGCAGGGGAAGTGGGAGGGGTAGTGGAAAGGAAAGAAGGGAAAAGAAAAAATATGAGAAAAGGGAAAAAATAGAAACAAAATCTTTGCAAATAGGGAAGGGTGGAGGGGGTGAAGGGAGGGCAGGGGAAGGGGAAAAATAAGAACCAAGATATTCTTGTAAAGGTACAGGATCCCAATGATGAATGTAACTGTATTTCATACCTAAAATGTACCAATCAACTTAATGGGGAAAAAAAATCAGGCAAGCCTTAAGACTTGGAGAGAATGTGGTGGATGTGAGAAATGCTTCAGTCAATGAGAAGAAGATTGGATACAGGCCAGCAAGAGGCCAAGAGATGCAAGCTTTCTGCTTGAACCCACCGTCCTGTGTGGGTTTCTCCTGGCCTCCTCCATTTTTCTGTTAGGATTGGCTGCCGGGGTGCAATGAGTGCCTTAGGAGCCTTAAACTGAGCCTGTGCTCAGCGCAGAGATGCACAGGGAGAGGCAGGAGGCCATGGGATCACGGTAGGGGTTGGTGAGTGGCAGAACCCAGTCAGGAAGGAGCTGATGCTGAGGAACGTGAGCACTGACTGGCCCGGAGATCGGAGGGAACAGGGCAGGGAGCACTGATGGGCAGGAAGGCCAGTGGGGGGAGGGCACATGAAGTGTGATCACTGGGGATTCAGGCGATGATGCTCTGGACACCAGTAAAAGCAGGTGGGAACTGACCTTGTCAGTACTGAGTAGGACAAGGTGGGAACTGACCTTGTTGGTTCTCCTTCATGGATAGGAAGAGGTGTGAACTTGGGCCCCATACAGCAGAACAAACTGTGGTCTTGGAATCAGAAGTCCTGTTTCCCAAACCCAAATCCACAGTTAATGTACGTCTCCATGTCCCTAAGGAGCTACACAAACTCTGAAGGCATCAACTTTGAGGGTACTCTGTTTTCTGCAGCCCATCCAAACCTGAAGGCATACAACCACTTCCATGGTTCAGGAGAGCTGCTGTCTGTAACTTCCTGTCACCCCTCAATAACCTGAACCCATGCTGACTCACAAAACATCAGAAGTTAGGTTGGTGTGCGGTCATCCAAGTAAGTTCAGATGAGTGAGGCAGGGGAGGACTGAAGTCTGGGTTGGAAGAAGAAGGACCTAACATGGCAAGAGAAGGGAGAGATTGGACCATTCTGTAATTAACAGCTACTACTTATATAGCCCTAGATAAGTTAACCTTTTGAATGAGTCAGTTACCAGGGTAGGAGTAGCGTCCACTTCTCTGACTCAGGGTAGCCAGCTCCAAAGACTTCTGAAATTCCTAGATCAGTGTGATGGCTGGTGTCTCATGGGGCTGTGAGTTGTACCCAAAATGAAGGAAATCTAAGTATCTCTGATTCTCCATTTTCCTTGTCTGTAAAGTGACTGTCTTGCAATCAGCCCATTTCATAGAGAATTTACTGGTTTTGTAACTCTGAGGACCTGTCATCCACTAATTTACAAATGGACCATGATCGCATGTCACTAATTAGAAGGAAGAGCCAGGGGTATTAGCCTCATTTGGGTTCTTATTTCTCTGTTTCTATGAAAACTTAATGTATGATGTCCAGCACCACTGAGCTCTAAAGGGCACTAATTCTGGGATCTGAGAATTAGCTTCCTCAGGGCTGCTTTCTTGTCCCGATTCCTCAGGCTGTAGATAAAGGGATTAACTAAGGGTGTCACCACTGTGAAGATGACAGAGGCCACCATGTCTTGCATGGAGAAGGAGGATGAAGGGTGCATATAGACCCCCAGGATTGCCCCATAGAAGAGGGAGACCACAGTGAGGTGGGACCCACACGCGGACGGGGCTTTCCTTATCCCATGTGATGATGGCAACTTCAGCACTTTAGAGAAGATGTAGGTGTATAAAACAACAATGCATGTAAATGGTGTCAGAAATATCACCCCACCCTCAATGAAGGTCATCAGGTCATTGACTAAGGTGCCAGAGCAAGAGAGCTTCAGGATAGGGTAGGGATCACGGAAGAAGTGGTCCATAGTGTTAGAACAAATTTTGAGTTGAACCATGAGCAATGTGTACAAGACAGCACACAGGTTTGTAATGACCCAGGAGAGGGCCACCAGGAGGACACTGAGCCTGGGCCTCATGATCATGGTGTAGTGGAGTGGGAGACAGATGGCCACATAGTGGTCACAGGCCATCGCACTCAGGAGGCAGCCGTCCATGTTGATGAAGGTGATGAAGAAGTAGATCTGGGTCATGCACTGTGGGTAGGAGATGAACTTGCTCCCCACTACGTGATTCACCAGCACCTTGGGGACTGTGACCGATGAGAAGCAGATGTCCACACTGGAGAGGTTGGCTATGAAGAAGTACATGGGCGTATGGAGGTGCGGGTCACAGCTGATGGCCAGGATGATGAGCAGGTTCCCGAGGATGGTGAGCAGGTACATGCACAGGAAGAGCCTGCAGAGAGCCTCCTCCTGCTCCTGCCTCCCAGAGAGTCCCAAGAGGAGGAATTCTGGGACTGCAGTGTGGTTGTCCCCATGCCTGTCTGTGGGGAAGAAAGTGTCATCATTTTAGAGCGTTGTGTGCCATCACCTGCTGCACAGGCTCACACAAGCCTAGGTAGGTTGGAATGCTACTTCCGGTGATTGCACTGTACCTGTCAATCACACAGACACACATCACGTCTCAGCTGATACGGTTGCATTTAACTAAATGACTGTGGTGGGCACAGGAGGGAGAGCCAGCACTGCACTGTGCCGTCCCCTAGAAAGCACAGTCCTTCCAGCACTGGGCAATCTTGTCATGAAAAACACCACCAAATCTCACACAGCAGTGTTAGTTTCCAGTCTGGGGGGCCCACATTACTCACTGTCCAGGCATGCATGCAACCTGTGGGCTGAGGGTTGCATGTGCCTGATCTGTTTTAATTAAAATTGGTTGAAAATTTACCCAAGTGGAATCGTCTTTACTCAGCAGCACTTGATGAACAGGCACATTTAGTCTGTGGCTTCTTCGTTTTCTCAGAATGTGGGCTACCCATGGTTTTGTAAACCCACCTCATGTTTTCCCCAGCATTTTACCTGCAGCTAAGGCACTGCTGCCACAGCTCACAGCCATGGTCTGGGGACCCACCCTGCATTCTGGTTGCAGGGTACAGTGGCCTCCTCCTTGCTGCCTGTCTGAAGAACAGGTGGATACTGCTGTAGCTGGATGCTTTTGTTCTGGGGTGGAAGATGTGTACTGATTGATAAGGAGCACATAGAAAAGATAAGCCCAGAAGAACCCAGTATGCCAGAGAGAAGTCAGGGAAACCTTATGAATGCAATGTTCCCAAAGAAATTCCTGGTGTCTGAAGAGGAAATCAGAGGATGCATCAGAGGATGCATCATTGGAGCTCAAAACTGGCGGGAAAGAGAAAGGAAAGAGGGAGCCCCCTTGTGAGGAGGCCTGGCTGTCTCAGCAGAGCACGCTGTAGGGAATCATCGGAAAACACTGCTTACAGGACATGTGCAGTGATCAAAATTACAGTGAATGTCCAAACTAGAAGATGAGTACAGTAAAAGACACATTGCCATTATTCCTAAGTACTCAGAGTACCCCCTTGCTTCCAACACATTTATCCCATAATTCGTGGCATTTTGTCTTAAGATGTAACACAGCTTTGAAATATTCAAAAAATATTCACCACGGTTTTCGACCATCCTTTGTCCATGTAATGGGGACGAGGTGACTGCCTCTGTGAGAGGTAAATTAGTGAAATTAAGCCCAGCAAAGCGCTGAGATGTGACATCGTTTCAACCTGGGTCAGCTCCCAGAAGCCAAGCAGGCGGAGCAGCATCAGGACCAACTAGAGGAGTTCGTGATGAGGCACAGGTGAAGGAGAACTTCCAAGCTGAGGGTTGGGGAGGCTGTGGTGGGTTCCGTCATGAAGAGAAAGAAGAGAGCATCCTAGCCTCCGGATGTCAACGGTCTAATGTTCACAGCACGCAGGTTCCCAGAGGGAAAGCGAGACAACGAGGAGAAACAGGCTGTCGAGGGCATTTGTTCCGTTGTGCTGGAAATGCTTCTAAGGTCGAATATGGAGAACACCCAGCTCAAATTCTCCTGCACTCTCTAGTGATAGTGTCTCTATGAGAAGTGGGGTGGCCTTGGTATGGTGAGTTACCGGGGACCATAGCACCACTCCATGCACGGTTCATGGTTCCTAGCTCAGGGCCCAGCAGGCTGAGGTTCTGCAGGAATCTGCTGCAACATGGTAGATCCTGTACTTCCTTCCTCTTACTCTCATTGGATACTCCCCCATCTTCTGGACTTTGATTCAGATTTCCAGGCAGGGAGAGATGCTCTTACCACTCCTTTGGTCATCCCCTTTAGTTTGTGTGACTTCAACATGCTGATGTCTGCTGTCATGCATGAATCTCTGAGTCACGCAGTGTGTGACTGTGTGTGAGCCACCTGCCATGTCTGCATCACTGCGTGTTTGTGTTCTCCCTAAGCAAAGGCTGCTCAGTCTCTGGATTCCTGTGCAGGTCACCATCCCTCTGTGGGGCTCTGAATGGCTTCCATGGAGCCACTGTGCTCACAGAGTATCATGAATGATATAAAGAAGGTACTGGTGCCAAGCTGGGGACTAGGGGCAGAGCAGGAGGGTCCTGCATGGTTGGTGCAGGAGTCTCTCTTTGGTTCTGGGAATGTAGGCTCCTGGGTCTGAGCTTCTGGCCAAGCTGAGCCATAGCCTGCAGGCCCTACTCCTAGGTCAGCCAAGCCCCATTGTCTCCTTCCTCACCCACACCCTATTTCCTACTTCCAAGTCAGAATCACACTCGCTGCTCCTGCATGGACAGCACGTCCTCCCAGAGAAAGGCTTGTTCACGCCAGACCAAGAGATGTTTCCCCTTTGAGCTTCATTATATGCAGAGGGATTTCATGGCTGTCTTTCCAGATGTCAGTCTGCCATTCTGCCGCTGGAGGTGGCTCAGCCTCACCTGCTCCCACCCCTTCTTACCTGGGTGCTCTCTGACGCTGTTAGGTGCTCTTCTCTCTGCCCACTCTGTGCTGGTCTGTCAGGATGTGGGGAAATCGAAGCTGGGCTGAGACAGTGGGGCCTTTTCTCTCAGGGGCAGGAGAGGCTCTCCTGGGCCAAGTCTGGATAATTAGGGGCAAACAAATAGATCCTCCCTGGCTATTTCCCCAGAGATGGAGATTTCCCTGCAGACCACTGCTACTCTGGGTGCTGAGGGTCGGTTCCTCAAAAGTCCTCAGGAGGACCCATGTTAATTGTGCATTACTGCATTCTGTGTGGACTGGAAACGTAGCATTGATAGAAACTCAGTTCTTATGCAAATACCTGCTGCACAATCTGGAGCATTTGGCTCCTGTATCGGTCAGTATTTACTAGAGAAACAGCTGTAATACAAGACATACAAATACACATGAATTTCCAAGGTTGGCTTACAGTGTTCACCCAGAGTCCGATGAAGAAGAGTGCAGAGGGTCCGTCTGCACACTGGAGACTGAGGGATTTAGTCGAAGGTCTGGAGCTCACTGCAGTGCGCCATGCCAGTCAGTATCAGGAGGCAGAAGGGTCTGTGAGGGAGGCTAAAGAGTCTAGGCTGAGGGGCTAAGAATCCACACTGGAAGCCAAAGAGTCTGCGCTGGAAGGCACACATGACATCCAAGGTGAAGACGAAGCTTGGAGTCCTCTGAAGAAACAGAAGCAGACCCATCCTCCCCATTCACGCTTTGTATCATCCAGGTCAGGAGCTGCCCCATGGTGGGTGCTCCACACCCTAGCAGCCTGAAGTTCGAGAAATGGTCCCGTGATGGATGTGCCATCTATAGGTTCATTTGGGTCTCCCTTGAAGCCTCATACAGGGTTTTAGCAAGTGGACTGAAATTGGCTATCCACAAGCCCCAGGAAAGACAGAATCTCAGCTTTGGAGGAAGGGACCAAAAGGTCCCAAATAAGCTTTTTCCAGTCTAAGGTGATCTCTCGTTATTGATATGAGATCTTAACCCCAAGATATTGTACTGCAGCTTGAGAGAGTTAGGCCTTTTCCCTCGAGACCCTGTATCTCTTTTTGCACAAGAAGTTGAGCAGTCTGGCCATGTGTTGTTGGGAGAGTTCAAGAGTGGGACTGCACAAAAGCAAGTCATCTACGTATTGAAATAGCTTAGAGGGAGACAGTTTTAATTTTAAGAGATCAGCAGCCAAGGCCTGTCCAAAGAGGTGTGGACTATCCGGAAAGCCCTGTGGGAGAACTGTCCAAGTAAGTTGTTGAGAGTGTCCTGTATCAGGGCCAGTCCATGTAAATGCAAAGAGGTCTTGTGAGTTGGGGTGCAAGGCGATGGTGAAAAAGGCATCTTTGAGGTCAAGAACCATGAACTGGCATAAGAAGGGGATGTGGGATAGCAGAGTGTAGGGGTTGGGAACAACAGGGTGTATAGGATGTGGAATTGATGGCCTTCAGGTCCTGTACCAACCTGTAGGAGCCATTCATTTTCAGGACTGGAAGGATAGGAGTGTTGTAGGGGGAATGAGGTCGTCTGAGTAGGCCCTTATTGATTAGGCCAGTGATTATAGACTTTAGTCCTTTTAGGTGTCTTAAGGCCATAGAGTATTGTGGGATGTTTGAGAATTGAGTGACATCCTTCAGAGAGATCTGAATGGGAGGGTGATGTTTATCAACAAAAGGGTTAGAGGAGTCCCAGACCGAGTGGTCAGTATAAGGTGCCTTGGAAGAAGATGAGGTCAGGTTGAGGATTGAGTCAGTCAGGGGGGCAGCCAGGGGCAGCAGGACACTGGTAGGGTCTGAATTGGTTGGGTGGAGAATGAGTGAGGCCCTCAATTTAGCTAGAATGTCCCTCCCTAAAATGGGGGTAGGAGAACTAGGAATAACCAAGAAACTATGTGAAAATGTGCTGCCTAACAGGGAACAAGCTAGGGGTGGAGTAATTAGTGGGTTTGAAGGCATCCCTTGAACCCCCATGGATGATTACTGTGGAGGGACAAGTTGGGCCTGAGTACTGTGGTAAGGCCGAGTATGTAGCCCCCATGTCAAGCAAGAATGAAATAGGCTTACCTGAGAGGCTGACAGTTATTCTGGGCTCGTTGGAAGTGATGGCCATGGGGGCCGCAGACGACCCTGGGCACTGTCAATCCTCCATTGCCAGGCCAATGAGCTCAGACAGAGATGTCTCCATACCTGCTGCCTGGGCTTGAGGAGGGGATGGCCTCTTACCTTTTCGGCAATGGGGACAGTCAACCCTCCAGTGACCCCGTCTGTTTGCAGTTAGGACAAGGGCCAGGCAGTGGCTTGGGATTGGGGCATTCTTTAGCCCAGTGCCCAGTTTGATCACATTTAAAGCAGGCCCTGGGAGGCCCATCATGAGTGAATGTCCTCTTGTAGGATTGTGGTTTACCCTGTAGGGCTGCTGCCAGCATCTGATAATTAGCCACTTTTTGTTGTTTTGCCTGTTCCTCATGGTTATTGAACACCTTAAAGGTGATATTGAGGAACTTGTTTTGTGTGACCTGGGGGCCCTCCTTGACCCTTTTAAGTTTTTTTCCTAATGTCAAGGACAGACTGTGAAATAAAATGAGTGTTAACAACTGTGCCTGCCTGAGATATAGGATCAATTTTGGTGTATTTTTAGAGAGCATGGGTCAATCAGGAAAGAAGCTGCACAGGATTTTCTTGGGGTATCTGAGTTATCTCTCTGATTTTGTCAAATCAACTATCTTTTGGGAAATCCTCTTTAAGCCTTCTATAAGACAGACAATCATATAGTCCCAGAGGTCCCTGCCTGGGTCATCATCCTGGCAAGTCCAGCCAGGTTGGGTATCTGGTACTGCCTGTGTGCCCACTAGCTTGGTCGGGTCTGTGGCATGGAAAGCATCTGCTGCTGCCTGGGCTGCCCTCCAGACCCTCTGGCGCTCTTCTGGGGAGAGAGTGGTGGAGAGAATTGTGTAGATATCTCGCCGGGTCATATCATAGGACTGAGTAAGGGAGTGGAATTCTTTAATATAGACATCAGGGTTGGAGAAGAAAGAGCCTAAGCATTTTTCAATTTGAGAAAGATCAGAGAAAGAGAAGAGAACAGGTACTCTAACAATGTCCTCTGTCCCAGTGACCTCTCAGTGAGGCATCTGTGTGGCTAGGGCTGATGCTGGGAGGGTGGGGTAGTGAGAATGGGTGTGGGGTGGGGAGTGTGGGGGTGAAGGTGGGTGTTGGGGGGGCTGGGAAGTGCAAGATGGTGGAGATGAGGGAGGGTCACAAGATAGTGAAGTTGAAGAAGCACGAGAGGAGATGGAAGAAGAGCTGGCCAGGTTATAGGGTGGGGTAGCGTGAGCAGTGAGTGATTGGCAGGATCAAATGTGTCAGAGTTGGGAGGGGTGCACCATGAAATTTGGGCTAGAAGTATCTGAGAGGGCAAACAGCTTTGACAGAGAGAGAGAGGCGAGAGTGTAGATAGAAGAAGGCTTGTAGGTAGGGGATTTCTGACCATTTGCCATTGCGTCGACAGAAATTGCATAAATTGCTCAGTATGTTAAAATCGAAAGTGCCATTTTCAGGCCAATGAGACCCATTATCTAATTTGTATTGAGGCCAAACCTGATTACAATAGAAAATGAGTCTCTTTGGTTTAAAGTCTGGTCCTAACAATCCAAGGGCCCTGAGTTGTGACAGGAGGCAGCCTAGGGGCATTGAGAGGTGGGGTTTGGATTGTTGCCTCCCAGGGGAGGAGGAGGCAGCTCCCTAGGAGAAGAGCAAAAGGGAAGAGCATCCTCATCCTTTTGACAAACCCCAAGCAAGTCTCCAGAGGGAGAGAACGAGTGGAGCCAAGCCAATGGGGCATCCCCCAGGGGCACGGTCCTGGACCCAGCAGCCAAGGGGTCTCTCTGACCAAGTGCTTGGATTTTTGAGAAGACCCCGGGGGGAGAGAATGAAAATGAAACAGAGGACACGAGGAGAAGGAGGCTGAACTCCCCACTCATCTGGAGATTGATGACCGGTGTGGATGTGTAGGGTCAGCAATGGCAAAGGCAGAGACCCCCGAGAAGGTTCTGGCTCAGCAGATGTGGTCCAGAGGAGAGGGCCGAAAGGCCAATCGACCCCGACCCTCAGGGGATCATCAATTAATTGACCGCCTACCTCCTGGGTATTGACACCAGATATGTCAGGTAAAAGAGCTGAAAACCAAGACCAGACCAGAATGACAACAAGCCTTTATTGCAAGGACAATCTGCCAGGCTGTTTTTGAACAAAGGAGTGCAGCAGTGTAGGGAGAGCTTTTATGGGAGCTAGGGTGGGATTTGGGGATGTGATGGTTAGGGACTGGAAGGATTGAAAGGTGCATGACCGGGGATTAGAGGAGCCTGTGACATCACTAGTTACTAGGAAGAGAGCAAGTATCAGGTTACTCGTTTGGTGGGAAAAGGAGCATGTTGGGAAGAAGGTTGTCTTTTGGTGGGAGAAGCCATCTTGGGGTTGGGTTTTAGGTGGTGAGCAGGGTATTATGGAAAGGAGCAGGCCAGTGTGGGTGGGAAAGGAGCCATCTTGGAACTGGGTTTAGGTGGGAAGAAGGGTATTAAGAGAAGAAGAAGGTAGCTATTATATATAGCAGACATCTTAAGGTCAGGGAAATCTATCAACATACAAAAGGTTCGCATCCTGAACACCTACAATGCATTTCACCATGCGACAGCATCCTTAGAGCTACAAAACACAGTCCACATTAAGGACAGACGTGGTGATCGCCCCCTTCTTGATCTCAGGTCCAGTTCCTCTCACCTTGACCTGGAGCAGTGGAAAGGTCATCCCTCCAGTCTGTCTGTGGTGTCACCGGATGTGCGTGGGTCACCCGCACACAAGAGCCAGAGGCCTGGCTGGGATCGGGCCCAGCCTGAGGTGGACTTGCATGGGTTCCCTGTGAGTTCTGCCACAAACTTCAGGCCCAGTCTGGGTGGCAAAGGTCAGGAGCTGCCTGTGCAGTCTGCAGTGTCTCCATAGGCAGCAGGGGCTTGCGAAGGGCCCAGGTCCCCAGGTGCAGGCTGGACCTTGGCAGTGCTGCGGGCTGTTCTCTCACCCCGCCCCATTCTGCAGCCTCCTCGTGGCCTGGACGGTGGTGGTGTCCAGCAGTCCAGCAGCAGGAGGCCAGGTTGGTGGCCCTGTCTTCCCCATGGCCACCACAACCCCCAGGTCGTCTGTCCCCGCTCCGGGTGCTCCTCATGTTTTGTGGTTGTTGCTGTTTTTCTGTTCTGTTATTGTTTATATTTCTTCCTTCTCTCTTTTCTTCCTGGCTTCTTCAACAACTTCCCAAAGTTTGTATAATCTTCTTTTGTCATCCAGCCTTCCTTCTATCCTATTCCTCTTGTTCTATTTCTCCATTTTTCCCCCTAAGCCCTTTAAAATTTTCTCCCATGAGGGTAAAATCACCACCTTGAGGGCATATTTACTGTATACAATTTTCTGGTTTGTTTTATATTTTGTTATATAACCACAAATATAGTTAATATGGTTAAAGGTAGCAAATCAATAGTTATCACAGTTTGTCATTTTCTAGGTCGTGTTTGATGCTGATTGTACTGTACTAGTGCTGATTGTACTTTGTTAGCCAAGGTGACAAAATTGTGCTAATCAGTTGTCCTTCCTGGTATGCCAAGGCTGAGGTTGCCTAAGGATCAAATACAGTCTTCCAGTGCCAAAGAACCAGGGGCTAGGCCAAATAGGCAGCAACTTTTCATTCCCAATCAATTTAAGAGGTAGGGTCTTGTAACAGCTCAAAACCCAAAAGCCAGCTATACCTAGAAGATGTCTCTGAGATGTAGTCATTTCCAAAGGGTTCTAAATACTAGTAATAAAGCAACTTGCCATAGCAATTTATATGCATCAACCCAGGAATTAAACTAAAAAAAGAGAAAATGAGAAGACACTTAAACAAGATAGAACCCCAGGCTTCCAGCTCACCAAAGGCAAACCCAGGAAGCAATGATGTGGAACAGTTTGAAAGCCGACCACCTGGACGCTCTGAAGTGGTAACAGTGGAAGTAACAAAGCAGATGAACGACGCTCTAGGAAAAATCAAATCAGAAATAATTTCACACATAAGTATAGAGATGGAGCTTAGGACAGTGATGGAAACTATGAATGTCTAACATGGGAATGAAGTGGAATTCATGAAACATTGAAACAGATATTCAGGAAATTAAAAATTTCATTGAAAATTATGCAGAGGAATGAGCCAATTCTGGTAAGAATGTAAGGTGGTGTGGCTACTTTGCAAAAGATCTAGCTGTTTCTTTATAAAGGAAATCTCTACTTCTATATTGGTCAGCTCAGGCTGCAGTAACAAAACTCCATGGAATGGATGATGTCAACAACACAAGTTTATTTTTCATGCTTCAGGGACTGGAAGTCCATGATTGAGGTACTGAGTCACTCTGTTCAAGCTGAGGGCTCTCTTCCTGAAGTGCAGATGATCACCTTCCTAAGTCTCCACATGATTTTTCCTCCATGGTTGAGCCGAAAGGCAGTGGGAACTATGGGGGTGGGAGGGGGAGGAAAGAAGGAAGGGAGGAAGGGAGGGAGGAGACTGGAGCACAGCAAAGACCTGGGCAGTTGGGCCTGGCCTGTCAATCACGGAGACTTGCTAACCTCAGGGATTCAGGACACCAGGGCAGAACAGCTCCCCAGCTCTGCACATGATGCCAAGCTTTTGGCACAAGATCAAGTTGGCTTTGGGGGGACAGCTTTGATGTGATACCTTTTGTGCCTGAAAATAAGATGTAGGCAGAAAATAATCAGCCTCGGAAACTAGAGGTCAAAAATGCCAGCCCCCACCAGCCTGTCCCTGCCCTCCCTGCCACCACAATTCTCTTGCTCAGTGGCTGCTCGGTAAGCCAGGGAAGGCCAGGAAAACTGATTGAGGTGGCCTTTTTGACCTCTAGTTTTCAAGGCTGATTATTTTCTGCCTACGTCTTATTTTCCAGGAAACAGGGTATCAGAAAGAGGATATAGAGGACGGTGGTCATTAACCTCCCAGCTGCTGCGAGTCCTCTCCCCAGCCCACCCTGCAGAGTGTACTTCCTGTCCTACTTTAGCTGGCCACACTCACTCTACAGAGCA